TAAACTTGGTTAACATATATATGAATTATTAACGCGTATATCTATATCTATCTGTTATATACCAGTATGTTCTATTAGCATCATAATAACAATATATATTACACAGTGTTATGACCCCTCTTAACATACATTTAAATTATTTATACGACTATCAATATTTTAATAACGTTCTAAACGCTACCCTATTATGTTATATATTAGACCTACCATTGTGATTACATAGTGTTACATACTTACTCAATTTTGTATGCGTTTTTCTAGCCCATATTTCAAACCTTAAGACCTATTTGAATTTCTAAATAATGAGTATTCTTTATTCGTTTTCTTATTGTAATGAAATAAAACATCGGACACCCGTCTTTAAGCTGATTACATCTTAGGGTGTGGGAGATATAATTATCTGTTTATTGATTGGTTGATTAGCTGGGTTCGTGTGATTTGATTGGACAATAATTAAAGATAATCTAATTAGCTAATTGGACGGAAGGGGAGGTAATTATGAGGGCACTCTAATTAAATCCAAGGTCGAATACTTTTATTTTAAGCGATAGCTACCAAAATATAATCAGATAAAACGCTTTAAAATTGTACATAAGACGTGGTTTTGGAATTATGAATTGGGGAAGTTCACATAGTTTTTAAGTATTCATTTACTGAGAGTTCACATAGTTTTTATTGGGTATTTGATAGGCTATTGTGTTTGTTTATAGGCTACTGTATCCCTCCGAAGGACACCCCCTTTAAGTGTGTTAATCACAGCTCGTCTGAAGTCTGTGTTACTGTTTTAAGAAGCCTACTCTATCACTCGAACGAGTTTTGTTGAAAACAGGAATAATTTTGTTAGAATCTCCAGACTGTCCTCTCAAACATCATCCAACTTCTTCCTGTTAATAGACACGTCTGTTTTTTTTTAAATATCTGGAACGTCTGGACATGTTGTTAAGGTCGGTTTTTTGTTAAATAATTTTTCAATAGTCGTATTGCTGGTAGACTGCCTTCTTCAAAACCTTAGCGTTCTCTTTTTGTAAAGATAGTCTCTTTCAAACCGCATGTTTGCTGAGAGGTATTGTCTAATGATGTGCACGCAACAAATACCGTCTTTGAAAGGGAGCTAAGCGAAGGATGTCGAATGATTTAAAAGAGAGTTGAGCGAATGGTGTCGAATGATGTTTAGAGTTCTTATTTAAAAGAGAGTTGTGCGAAAGGTGTCGAATGATGTTTAGAGTTATTGTTTACAAGAGAGTTGAGCGAAGGGTGTCGAATGGTGTGGACTCCCCGGAGAACGACTATTTGTTTTAAAGTACCTGGTAATACATTTCCCGTCTGATCACTTAACTCTTTATACCTTCAAGATGAGTTCTCCTCAACTCTATTTCATTTTCTCTGAATTATGGGGTAGAATCATGCCGCTGTCCTGGCAAAATTTCCCTCATGGCGTCTTCATAAGCTCTATGGATTTTCTATGTTTGAAATTATGGGACTCCTTCTCGCTTGAATGTCTAGGGTTCCATCACGACAAAGGTTGAGATGATACCTTCGAATTTTGAAACCAGTTTCCCCTTGATAGTGAATCAGGTTGGAGTGGCTGACGTGTAGTTGTTCAGACGGGAAAATAAATCAAGGCAACTCAAAGACAAAGAGTGGGCTAATGCCACTGTGATAGCAGATCTCCCGTCACTACTCACTGCTCGGAGTTTCCGTTCTTCATCAGCATAGACACAAGCATGTTGGAATAACATCCAGTGAGAGAGGTCTGTCAGTTAGGAATACCCATCTTTAATTAGGAGTTTTTAAACAGTCTACCAGATGTACGGTCCATACACCAAACCGATTACCGGATATAAATAGAAAGGCAGTCTGTATATTTAGGTAATCGCCCTGCAAACTCGTCTGGGTTATGGCGGCCCGGTGGTCGCATTGATGAATTGCGTTGCGCTTGCATGTGCGTTCTTGAATACAAGTTAGGAGAGGGTATAGAAATATACGTAATAGGAATAGAACATGATACTCGTACTTGTCAGGACAGGTGGTCGCAATCTCAGTGATTAGTTGCGTTGCGATTGCATCTGCGTCTTTTTAAATGCGACATCAAATATATAACATAAACAAAGTCTTCTAAGGATGGTTTTATTTATTAATCTGTCTTCATTCCGGTAAAAACGGCCGTGTGTCGCAAATACGGGTTACGTTGCGGTTAATATTGCAGTTGCTATTGCGACCCTCGATATTTTCACCAGTAGGACATTAAACCCTTCAATTACAACCATGTTTTACAGACTGTGTTTGTCACATGACGCGTGTGTCACATCTGTCGCATTATGATTAAATACCGCGAGGGGGCGTGGTTATCGATTTTTTGGGAAACAATGGTATACATGTAAACAGAATCTTAGTCTCTTACGCCCAGACTTCTGCTGTATAGGCCCCCAATATGCATAGACAAAGGGGTCTGGATGGAAGAGGCTAACAGGATCGGTGTCCTAGCTGTAGCCACGGTGTCCAGACCTCGAAAAAACTGCGACAAATGTTAAGTGGCCATACTAGTTATGCTAGATGGCGATTAAGAAATAGTCTCATAAAAGCACTGGCCAAGGTCACAAATTAAAGATATACGAGTCTCAATGAAAGTACTAATGGAGTTCAATGAACTAAAAGTTAATTCTTTTGTGAAAATAATCGCATTTTGTATCGTCGTCCAGCTGTAGCCATGTTTAACTAACAACATCGCATCTAGTACCCTGCACTTATATAATACATGTATTATTTTGTACTTATGTTGTTCTGTAGATTTTTGCCCTTTGCCTTACATTACTCCAACTTCCCGTCCACGTCCAAAACAGCATAATTATAAGAATTATTCAAAAAAGCTAGACGAAACGCGCACTGGAATAATATACCGTTATCTTCCATCTTAAAGACTCACGTACATCTTTACAGTCTCTATTTAAATTCCGGTTTTCACGTCACGCTGCTACTCATAAATCTTATTTGTCGGCATTATCACTTCATTTTAATAGTCGCTATATAATCTTACACCATCTTACACACGTAAATCCAAGGTTAACCTTGAAAACGCACGTACGACCTTGAAACCTGTTTTTCTTCCTTTCTCTATGAAATTGAATTCTGCAATGAAAGAGATTAGCTGAAATAGTTAATTGTTTGTTACATTGTGTGCGTTTAAGTATATTCTCTGATAATAAAATTGCATGTTGTTTTTAATATGTTCACGTATTTTATCCTGACGAAACACTATATTCCCCTGTACATAAAAGAAAAGAGACGGACGGGAAGGTAATTGTGATTTGAATGAAAGTGAATTGGAAACCGTCCTAAACAATTAACCTCCCTGCACTGTATCTTTATTCCAGTTGATTAAAGAGCTTTATAAAAGAACGTGGAATCGATCTGTGCGGCTCGAGATGAGGCGAGCGCGTGCACGATGGCACCGGAAGTCATGAAAGCTGGCCCAGGACTCTGGATTAATCAATAATATTACCGGCGACACGCTAACTCTTAGAATATAGTATGTAGATACCAGATTTTCTATGCTTCTGACCAACTTTCACTCAATTTTCACGTATTTAGGAATTTTTCTGGATTTATTCACGGATTCTGAGAAGACGGATTACCCTAGAGTAAACAGGTCTGTTGAAATTTAATTCCAAAGTCTTGGATTTTCAGAACGTAATTTGGCACCGTGGTTATTGTGTAATACAACGAGTCAGTGCCGTCGTTTTGAAAGATGCTAAATGCTTATGGTCTCAGTCGAGCGTATGGTTTACAAGACGACAATGGTCTTGATAGGGCTAAAGGCCATTGGTAGTGGAAATATTTTATACAGTATATTGTGTTAATGCCCACTTGATCAAATGACATTCTGATAACATATTATACTAAACAGGGACGATTGTATTTTCATGATCAGGGTACTCGTTATGGGTTTGGGGTATATTTTTTCGAGGGGGGAGGGGGACTACTATGTTATAAATACAGGGACAATAAAAGAAGGTGGGGAGAACAATTGTTTTGTATTTTGTCAGGATAGGGTGGGGTGAGGGTTGTATTGAATATTATATATATAGAACGGAGACTGT